GGGTTGCCTGGCTCTTCTTCCTCCCCTCTACCTCTACGTCCCGCCCCTGTGTCCAGCCCTTGAACCCTTCTGCGTTGCATCTTTTGCTCTCTCTCCCTCTCCCTCTCCTTTCTTTCTCTCCTATCTAGTGATAGGAGGTAAAACCAGGGAGATAAAGAGTGGGACAAAGAAGAACCCACAAAATAGCAAAGTCCAGCTATAGGCATTCCTTGCAGAGACAACTAGGACATCATAGTTAGAGCAATGTGCCCACATGGTGTGCACAGTAAGGAAACTCCTGGAATGATAGGTACAGGTCAGTGAGAATAGTGGCAGATTGTATGAGTCCTCGAATGTCAAATTAAAAGTGGATTTCCTTCTTGGGACTATCAGAGCCATCAGAAAAGACATCAGGGAAGATGTGTGGTCAGCAGTACAGGCAGAGTGATTTACCCCAGAAGCTGCTAGGCAGAAGGGTTGAAGGGCTAGACACAGGGCCGGGCCGTAGAGGTAGAGGGGAGGAAGAAGAGCCAGGCAACCCTCGGGCTATCTGAGCAAGAGGCTTGGTGACTAACTGGCTAATCCAAGGAGAGCCAGAGGGCGCATCAGTCCTCACTCTGCCGTTCACGGATGTCGCTAACATAGACGGGGCAAACAGAATGGAGACAATACATTCCAACACAGATGGCTAAAAACCACAAAAGAGCAAACATCCTCCTTCCCGGAGCCTGTGACTACAGACTTCCAAAGAATCCGAAGCAGTAAACACAGGCTGAGCCGTAGCACTCTCTGGGGGCATACCTCCCATGCATGAGCAGAGACCTGAGGACATTGTCCCAGACTCTCCCCTGTTGGCCATCTGAAGGCAGAGCCTGGCTCCGCCTTGGGCTTCCCAAGATGTGTGTATGAGCTCTGACTGTAGCCCCAGATGGTTCACTCCTATGAAAGCAACACAAACAGAAGAAAATGGCCCCTTTAAATGCCTCTAAAACAACACCAAAAAACTTTATCATTGTTGCGGGGGTGGGACAGATGCCACAGGACACAGGTGGAGGTCAAAGAATGACTTTTAAAAAGTGAGTTCCGGGAATCAAACTCAGGTTTTCAGAACTCCATAACAACAGCTATTACCCACTGAACCATCTTGCCAGGACTGTTGCCAGCTTTTGTGTTAGGGTCTCATTCTGCCATCAAACTAGCTTTGTACTCAATGCAGTCCCCCTGCCTCAGCTTCCCAACCACTGGGAATACAGCCATGGTTTTATGTTGTGTTAGGGATCAAACCCGGGGCCTCGTGCAAGCGAGGCAAGCACTCTGCCCAGTGAGCTACAGCTTCAGTTGGATATCCCTCTTTGGGCTATTTGGAAAGACTTTGGAGATGGGCTTAAGAAGGATGAGCGGAATGGGATACCTGGGAAAAGGAACAGGGCGGGTGTCCTGCTTTCTCTCTCGGCAACCCTCTATCCAGCCTACAGAGCGCCTCTTCTCTGCCTGTCTCCAGGTCCTGCCAAGGATATGCAGCCCACCATGAAATTCGTGATGGACACATCCAAGTACTGGTTTAAGCCAAGCATCACTCGAGAGCAAGGTAAAGCCAGGACTGTGTCCCAGAGGACAAGTGACTCAGTAATCATGTCTGGCCTTGTACCATGCGGCAGGCAGATGGGGCCCTGGGTGGGGTGGGGGGGAAACGCAGATAGTAAACAGCAGCCTGCAGAAGGGTGGGTGACCTGCTGGCCTCATTAGGAAACAGGCAAAACATGTAGAAAGTAGACCAGAGAAAGACTTCCTGGGGACAATGGTTGTGTGACTTCGCTGTGAGGACTCTATGGGGATGGGAATAGAGAGTGGGAGAGTGGCTCACCTTCTAATTGAAGACTGTTCCAGCAATCAACCTGCTGAGGACGGAGAAGCCGGGTGCCTTTGTCATCAGGGACAGTTCCTCCTACCGAGGCTCCTTCGGCCTTGCCCTGAAGGTACAGGAGACTCCAGCATCTGCTCCAAACCGACCGGGTATGTATGTATGTATGTATGTATGTATGTATGTATGTACATACGTACATACGTACCTTTTGCTTGATCACCTTGGAGCCCCTACCATGGTTGACTCTGTCCCAGCTTGACAGTGACAATTAGGGTGACTCCTGGGAGTACAGTCCACCTCTCCGCTCTCCCAGCCCACCCTCTAGCACTTAGCACCATGGAGACCAACTCAACTCTGAAAGCCAGAGATGCCCCTGCCTCCCCAAATTCCATGTTCCACCCTTGAAAAAAGGTAGAAGGAGAGGAGGAAGAAGGTCCCAGCCTCTCCTCAGACTGCTGTCTTCTGGGAACCTCTGTCTAGCCTGGATTTATCTCCAGGAACCTAATACAATTAATGCTTTTGTGGGCTTATCACACTCCCAATAGCTATCATTCATGAAATAACTTACCATGTGTTCAATAGCTCATCCTGTGTGAGAGAGCTTATCACGTGTGCAATCGCTAATTGCATATGTGCGATAGCTTTTCGGCTCTCCTTTGATCTCACGTGGTCATCTGGTAACTCAGCACATATCCCCTGAGGGATCTGATCAGATCTATACCAGATCCTGTGTAAGGAACCGGACTTGTGTGTAGAGGGCTCGCACACGGAAACCATCCCATTGGGGAGATAGACAAGAACAAATCATGGCAGTACTACAAAGTCCCAGAGTAATAGTCCCCTCATTTAAACCCAATTAGGAGTGAGTCTCAGGGAGTGAATGACCCCCAAGGAATTTAAGGCATAGAATGAGGGTGGACCTCTCAACCTTGTGCTGTTAGCAGAGGTTTGGGGAGTTGGCTCAGAGGTGGAGGCATTGCCTGATATGGGTTATAGCTATAGCATAGTGTTGGGAGTAGGGGATTCAGCAACTTCTGGGGCAGTTGTGGGTTTTCAAGGGAGTCTTTTAAGAGGCAATGAGCCCAGATGGAGGAGCTGTGGTGGGTGGAGTTGGTGGGTGGGGTCAGAGAGCTTCTGCTACCTGTCAGAGCCAGCTCTGTTCTAGAAGGGATGAGCTGATAGGAACGAATGGCACTTGGAATGGGCTGGGGGATACAGACCCCTCTGGCACCTTGGAGCCGGTGAACACAGGTTTGCTATCTGCACCTCCACAAGGAGGCAGAGGCTAGTGTGACAGCCTGGGATGGACCTGGGGGAAGTGGGCAGGGCCGAGCTGGCAAGGGTCTGGCTAACTCAGGGAACCAAAACAAAACTCCTTCCTTCTTTGTCCAGGTGAAGACAGCACTGACTTTATCCGTCACTTTCTGATCGAGTCTTCAGCTAAAGGGGTGCATCTGAAAGGAGCAGATGAGGAGCCCTACTTTGGTAAGCTTCCCCAGGCTCTGCAGCCTCCCCAGCCTCCCCAGCCTCCATGCCTCCCCAGCCTCCACCAGCCTCCCCAGCCTCCATGCCTCTGGGCTTGGTGTCCTGCACTGTGAAAGTGTCTGGGAAAGCCCTACTCACTCAAAGCTTCCTGCTCCCTTGCAGGGAGCCTCTCTGCCTTCGTGTGCCAGCACTCCATCATGGCCCTGGCCCTGCCCTGCAAACTCACCATCCCACAGAAAGGTAGGTCAGACCCATTGGTCCATTAAAAAGGCTTCCAGTGGCCACTTCATCCTTGTTTATGACATGTGCTTGCTCTGGACTAGGTCCATGTTGCTCCATTTCCCACCTGTGAGAATTTAAGGATATTTGCTCTTCTGAGCCTCAGTGCCACCTCCACACACACACACACACCTGCCACCCCCTCACCACCCCACACACACACTCAAATGAGAACAACCATCGACCAGATTCAGTGAGATATTTTTTCAGGCAAGGCCAGCCTGGTCTACAGAGAGAAATCCTGCCTTGGGTGTGTGTTGGGGGTGTGTGATAAAAAGAAGACAGAAAGGAAGAGAGGGAAGAAGGAAAAAATAAATGAGACTCTAGGCTTAAGCAGCTGGTCCACAGGCCCACAACCCCAAGCCCAGGTCAGCAGCCCTATCCATAGAAGCTTCCGGACCAAGGGGGTCATCTCAGTTGTGCAGGAGTGAAAGTGAAGAGGGGACAGGAAGAGCCAGCCCTAAACAAGAAATGAATAGAGTCCGTACTCTAGAAAGAGGAGCCTAGGGTGGAGTCCAAAAGAAGAGGCCAGGGGCTTTTTTTTTTTTTTTTTTTTTGGTTTTTTGAGACAGGGTTTCTCTGTGTAGCCCTGGCTGTCCTGGAACTCACTCTGTAGACCAGGCTGGCCTCGAACTCAGAAATCCGCCTGCCTCTGCCTCCCAAGTGCTGAGACTAAAGGCGTGTACCACCACCGCCTGGTGAGGCCAGGGGCTTTGAGGACGTGGTCCGAGCAGTGGGCCAAGATCTGGGAGGCTGCAGATAGAGGTGGGACAGGATCAAAAGCTTGCAAACCGAGTAAAGTGGTTCTCTTTCCCTAATTGAGGCCACCACACCTGGCTTCCCAGCACGTCAATTCCTGGGAGTGGGGGCGGCTGTGGGAGGTGTTCAAAGGGAGAGCTGCTCCCCTGAGGGGTCCACTCACTCCACCCTTTCTCCTGGGGCCTTTTTCTTTGCCTCTGCTCAGAACTGGGAGGTGCAGAAGCAGCATCAGACTCCCCCACACATGGCCAGACCTCTTGCCTGAAGATATCAGCTGGTAAGTGGTATAGGGGAGGCGCCAGGCTCACTGCACCCCTGGAGACCACTCCCCAGATCTACACACACACACACACACACACAGGCCCACACATGCCCACACATGCTTTCCATTACTGCTTTGTTTCTGCAGCCTTAACAACCCACTGCCCCCCTCCTTGGCTCCATAAACCCAGAGATGAGAGGCTGCCACTGTGGGCCAGTGGGGAGGGAAGAAAGGGGGTGAGGGGAACATGTGCTGGTAAGCTGAAAGCCAACACCCTTGCACACACTGTACACATATCTGGACTAGGGTCTTTCTGTGTTTGAGATTCCTGCCCTGGGGGTGGTCTCCAGGTCTGGATCTTCTGTGGGGGATAAGGTCTGAGTCCTAAGGATGATTTCAAAGCCCAAGTCCTCTCCCCACTTCAGAGGCCAAGCATCTGTCAATACTCAGTGACAGCTCCTGTTTTGTACCCCACTCCCCAAAGCACAGAGGCTGCCCTCCTTTCTCTCTCTGCGCTCACTTTGGGGGTAGGGTAGCCCTAGGTAGAGGAAAAGAAATTTTGGTCACCCTTGGTACTCCAAGTCTTTTCAGTGTCTCTAAAGAATTCCATGGACTCCTAACGAAGGAAGGCATTCTCTGCCCCATCCCTATCCCTGGGCATAGGAAGGACCAGAATCCAGTGATACACACACACTGTAAGACCCCGCTACAGATCCTGTTTAATATCTGTATCCCTCAGGTTGCCACACGCTGTACCTGAGCTCTGTGAGTGTGGAGACCCTGAGCGGAGCCCTGGCTGTGCAGAAGGCTATCTCAACCATGTTGGAGAGAGATGTTCTCCCCACACCCACTGTCGTCCACTTCAAAGTCACTGAACAGGGCATCACTCTGACAGATATCCAAAGGAAGTAAGGACCTCGCCTAGCCTCTGGCCTGCAAGGCTAACTAAGAGCAGGGCTGGAAGGGAGGCCAAAGACAGACAGAGGTCAGGGCCCTGGATCCAGAAGGGGTGGCAAATGGTGGGTGACACCAGACAAGTTCCCCACCTCCCCTAGCCCTCCAGCATTGGTCTCAACAAGGATGAAGGTCTGCCATTTTTATTGGGTGCTGATTAAATCTATGTAGGCCAGACATGAATGACTCCTCAGACACAGTGTGGAATGACCACACCTCTTCCCAGAACGTTATCTATCCAGAGCCTTCCCTAATTTAACCAGGAAGGCACGGGTAGACCAAGATGTAACTCCTGGCTTCAAAAAAATGAATGGCATTGGAGGGGGGCATGTCCAAAAACCCCAATATAAGAGCATAAGGCAGATTATTCCATGGGAGGAGAAATACATGGCTTGTGTGTCCAGTTCCAGTAGTAAGAAACCATGACAGGTCATGAGAAGCCTACCAGGATAGGATGTGTGAGCTTTGGGGGAGCCAGAAATGCTGAGATGGGGGCATCGCACAGGAATAAGCCCTCACCAGCCTGGCTTTTCTTTCTGCATCCACTCAGGGTGTTCTTCCGACGGCACTACCCACTCATTGCCCTCCGCTTCTGTGGAATGGACCCCGAGCAACGGAAGTAAGTTCAAGGCTGAGCCAAGCTGAGAAGGCCGTTCCAGGCCTAGCTGCCCTCCACAGTGTCTGCTGACCTTGGCACTGAAATAGCAGAGACAGCCTGTGAACACTGGTCAGGGATCCGGCCAGGTGGGGCATGGCAGAGGTCAAGCAGCAGCTCCCACTGCTTGTCAGGGTCCTGAGGGGCGGAGCCACATCACTCACTCCTGCCCTGTCCCTTTCTTTCAGGTGGCAGAAATACTGCAAGCCTTCCAGGTAAGCTCTTCCCACCACTCTGTGGCTCTAAGAGGGGGCCCTGTGCCAAGGGTGGGGGTGGGGGGAAAGCCGGGGGTGATATCACACACCTGTAATTCCAGCATGCAGGAGGCAGAGGCAGGAGCATCACTGTGAATTTGAGGCCAGCTTGGTCTATAGAGTTAGTTCCAGGCCGAGCTTGTCTATGTAGTCAGTTGAAGGCTAGCTAGCTAGGGCCACACAGAGACCGGAGGCAGAGGGGGAGGGAAGGAGGAACAAAAAAAGGAAGGAAGGGAGGAAGGGAGGGTGTTCCATCTTGATCTTAAGAGCCAGTGTGGCTCTGAAGCCAGCGCTTAAGAGATTCCCCAGTCTGAGCCCTAGGAGTCATGCCAGAGGCACAGGCTGTATCTCAGAGCGGTCCGTATGAAAGCCAAGGACATTTGGCCTTAATGGGGCTTCCAAGTCTTGTCCTCGGGAAGCCCCTTTCAAAATGAAGGAAACCCAGAGCCTGGAATAAGCTCTTTCCCTGTCTGACAGGGGAGGCGCCTTCTTCCTTTAGCTGCCCCAATATAAGGAGGTACTGAACAAGCCGGGGAGGTGACTCACTGTGTATAGGGCTTGCCACTCAAGCACAGGACACAAGGTTCCATCCCCAGAACCCATGTAACAAGGGAGATGCAATGTCTGGGGAGGCAGAGACGAGCGGATTCCTGGTGCCCATTGGCTGGCCAGTGTAGCCAATTAGTGAGCTCTAGATTGATTGAGATGCCTTGTCTCAAAAAGAAGTAGAGAGCAATTAAGGAAGACACCCAACCTCCACACTCATATGCAGACACACGCTAAGTCCACACAAATATGTGCATCTCTCACACACATACGTATGCACATACAAGCACACGAAAATCGCAAGACGCTGAAGCCGGTTGGCTTGGGGAGAGGCAGTTAGGTTCAGGCTGAGTCCTCCCCTCAGCATGACGTCTCTCCAGCCCACGTCCCTCAGACTGTCTTCTCTCACCAGGATCTTTGGGTTTGTGGCCAAGAGCCAGACAGAGCCACAAGAGAACGCGTGCCACCTCTTCGCAGAATACGATGCGGTCCAGCCAGCTTCCCAGGTCATCAGCCTGGTGACTGCTCTGCTTCAGGACACAGAAAGGATGTAGGAGAGAGGCGTTGTCTGTGTGCCTTCCCTGGCATCTCAAGGGACCTGCCCAGGACATGGAACTGTGGCCACATTGACAGGCCTTGGACTCGAGGATTGATCAAGTTGAACCCTTTGAACCTGCTGTGACATCAGCAGTAACCTTTACCTGGCTCTGGAGCCTCGATCTCTTCAATTATAAAGAGACCTATCCTTAAGACAGCTGCTCCTTGCTGGGCGGTGGTGGCGCACGCCTTTAATCCCAGCACTTGGGAGGCAGAGGCAGGCGGATTTCTGAGTTCGAGGCTAGCCTGGTCTACAGAGTGAGCTCCAGGACAGCCAGGGCTACACAGAGAAACCCTGTCTTGAAAAACCAAAAAAAAACCAAAAAAAAACCAAAAAAAAAAAAAAAAAAAAAGACAGCTGCTCCTTGGATGCTGGACTGGGACTCTTTAGTGTGTGCCTCCATGCCACTGAAACCCACCCACATCCAAGACTCCTTACATAAAAACTGCCTGCAAGGACCCTCTGGCTTCATTAGCCTGAACACTCCCTACGTGGCAGGTTGTGCCAGAGACCTATGACCCCTGCCTTTTGGAGAACAGCAGGTGCTGGATCAGAACCCATGGTTTGGTTTCCTGGCTGGCACCTGGTGTTGATTCGTGCAGTTAGGGGACAGATTCTATTTTCCCACACCTGTTCCTTTCCTAGGTTTGCCGAGGGCCTTTTGGATCCACTGACCTAGAGATTTAAAGGTTTGTGGCTGAGGATAAATGTAGCTCAGTTGGTAGAGTAATTACCCGACATGAACGGGACTGGGTTTGGTCACCAGCCCCACAAACAACCTGCTGAGAGAGACAGAGAGGTAGGCGTGCACACGGGCGCACAATGGGGGCGGGATTAAAGTTTTCATAAATCTCAGCCGGTGGTCATCAAAGTCTTTACCTGAAGAGACCACACTTCAACTCAGACCTGGGGGCATCACTCCACCAAAAGCTGCTGTGGGAAGATGGTATTGAATGGGCAGGAGCCTACGAGTTCAGTCTGTGATGGACCGGGTCGAGGGCCTCAGCCGGAGCAGATCAGGCTGCCACAGCGCTCGCACCCTATATAATGCAACCCACTTCAGTTCGCTTTGAGGGGAGGGGCATCAAATGCAATCTGCCCCAAGGTTGTCAGAGTCGAGTCTGGGTACAGAACAGAAGTGAGTTTTCATACCCCCACGTCTTCTTTTCCACTTTGCAATGAAGGTTCTGTCAGTGGCCAAATGTTCTCCCATCTTGAGATCTAGCTGTTGCAGTTTGTTCAACCTAGCTGTCTGGTGGAACATTCTGGATTCCGCGGATTTTTAGGTGTAATTCGCCAAGTTCTTGGAATCTTTTTCCCAAGAGCACGATACAAAAACCCCTAGACTCTGCTGTTACAAACATGAACTCTTGTCTAACCCTATCAATTATCCTGTGATGTTGAATCAGGATACTAAAGGTCAACTTTGGCTGTGACCTGTTGGGCTAGCTCAGTTGAAGACCCTTGTCCCCGGGGCTGGAGAGATGGCTCAGTGGTTAAGAGCACTGACTGCTCTTCCAGAGGTCCTGAGTTCAAATCCCAGCAACCACATGGTGGCTCACAACCATCCGTAATGAGATCTGATGCCCTCTTCTGGTGTGTCCGAAGACAGCTACAGTGTATTCATAAAAAAAAAAAAAAAAAAAAAAAAAAAAAAAAAGAAGACCCTTGTCCCCATGATCAGATCAGAAAAGACTCAGCAATGTTCACATTCTTTGTGTCTAACCCCTCCTTGCTCACCCGTTGAAGATGAATATCACCCCAATGTTTGCTTTCAGTTTCCTGGTAAGCAACAGCTGCCTGGCATTGCTCAAGCAACCCACATCTGGTGGAGAGGGGAAGACAGACCCTGTTGCTAAAGTACAGAGATAAAGTGTATCTCTGCCCCAGCTGCAGTCTTGCTGGATCCTCCAGTCTCAACACACACCACACACATACACACACACACACACACCACACAACCATGTGACATCACCAACCATACAACCACAAGGGGGAAGCAGAGAGTCAAGAATGCAAAGAGGCAGCTTTTCCTGGTTAAAAGAAGCTGGGCCCTTTTCCTCCCACACCCTGCCTGCTCTGCTTAAGCCGTTTGGTTTGTTTTTGTTTGTTTTGTTATGTTTGAGATGGAGTTTCTCTATATATCCCTGGCTGTCCTGGAACTCACTCCATAGACCAGGCTGGCCTCCAACTCAGAAATCCACCTGCCTCTGCCTCTCAAGTGCTGGGATTAAAGGCATGTGCCACCACTGCCCGGCTGCGTAAGCCATTTGTTGCTCTTGGTCCTGTCTGCCTGCCATTCTTGCATGCAAGGAGAAGCTCTCAGAAGAAGCCCACTGTAACTCAGTGTGAAGTGTTTGTCCCTGCCCACCAGCAGTCTACAGAGCATCATTGTCATTGGCCAAGGTCAGATCTGAGGGATTATGATTTCAACGCAGGAAAACCAAATCAGTCTCAAGGTAGAGGGTGTTAGGCCAGTGGTACAGACCAAGACCAGCCCTCCCAGCATGAGATCAGGCTTGGTTCCACCTCTGGGGTCTGCAGGATAATTAGCAAAGTTTTCCTAGTTAGTAGTGCCCAATTCTAGGCTGAGTGGGAGAGTCCTCCACACCTCCCTGTGTGCCTCGTAGAAAATAAAGTTTCTTTGCACCATAACTCATTCTGGACATCCAGAACTATCTCCTGAGTCCTGAGCAGAGAAAGGGACCCCACATGCAGAGAGTAACATACCTGGACACACCATGTGCATTTTGCATTGCCCACAGAGGCCAGAAGAGGGCGTTAGAGCTCCCCTGGAGCCACAGACAGTTGTGAGCCACTGTGTAGTGTTGGGAATTGAATCCATTTTATCTTGAAGAGCAGCCAGTGATGTTAACCACTGATACCCCATGGTAGTTGTGTGTGTGTGTGTGTGTGTGTGTGTGTGTGTGTACATGCATGTTACGTTACAGTGTATGTGTGGCGATCAGAGGGCAATCTTAGGTGCCCATCCCACCTTCTACCCTATTTGAGACAGGGTCTGTCGTTCACTGTGTGTACACCAGGCTAGTTGTCCATGAGTTTCCAGAGATTCTCCTGACTCTGTTTCCCATCCCCCCATCTGAATGTTGGGGGTACAGATGTGCACTACCTACATCTGGCTTTATGTGGGTCTGGGGATTCAAATTCTAATCTTCCATAGTGTACAGTGAGGGCTCTGCACACTGAGCCACCTCCCTGTTGTTTCATTTCATTTTGGTGACAGAATGGTCTGAAACTCACAGCAATCTCCCTGCCTCAGCCTTCTGGCAGGCATGAGCCACCACACCCAGCTGTGAGGAACCACCTTTTACCAGAAGGGCTCCTCTGCATTCACTACAATGAAGAGTGATTCCTACATTTGAGCCCATTTTTCAGATTAGGAGACTGGGGCTTGGGGTCACCGGCATAGTAAGCGGCTGGGAGACTGCATTTCTGGTCCATATCAGCCCTACCTCTCCAACATACTTTTTCTTTTTTTTTGTTTTTTTGTTTTTTTTTGGTTTTTTGTTGTTGTTGTTGTTGTTGTTGTTGTTGTTTTCGAGACAGGGTTTCTCTGAATAGCCCTGGCTGTCCTGGAACTCACTCTAGACCAGGCTGGCCTCGAACTCAGAAATCCACCTGCCTCTGCCTCCCAAGTGCTGGGATTAAAGGTATCCACTACACCACCCAACAAGCTCTGGCTATTCTTGCAGAAAAGCCAAGTTTTATTCCCATCATCCACGTGGCAGCTTAACACCATGTATAACTCCAGTTCCAGGGCCTCTGACACCCTCTTCTGACCTTCAAAGGAACCAGGCATACATATAGAACATTTACATACATGCAAGCCAAAAATAATAATAACAAAATAAATGAGGTTAGCTTCAGGACCACTGTGTACTGGTGAACAGGTTGTGCAATGCACAGTCATCAGGATAACCCACTTGGACTTCACCCTAGAGGTAATGACGGCAGACATCAAAGGGCTTTTCCACTAAGAGGAGTTGGTCAGATCTGGGCTTTTGAAGTATGGCTGCAGGACAGGAGATGGGATCTGAGCCTGGGGCTAGGGGGGATGTGAGGGGTGAGGAATCTGAGGACTTGGAGTTCAAAGCAGGACAAGAAACACCAAAGTGGAGGGGCTATAACCACGCTGGATCTGGGCCTAGGCCCCTGCTTCTCTACAAATCTAAGAGGACTGTGTGAGGAAAAAAAATAGCCAAACTAGAGATCTTATCTCCTTCAGCACAGGTTCGTGTAACAAATACCACACAGTGAGGCCTCGGACATTAGATACTTACTTCCCATAACGCTGGAAGTTAGACTAGAGATCAGAGCACAGCATGGCCAGGTCCTGCTGGATGCTGTCCCTGCCTCACAGACAGCCATGGCCTCGCTGTGTGCTCACACAGGTTTCCCCCAGAGATTGTGTGGTGGGGAGAAAATTCCCTGCTTCTTAGAAAGCTTAGCCCTGCCCGGCAGTGCACACTGAGAGGGGACGATGGTTCAGTGGGTAAGGCATACAGGGAGGCAGGAGCAGAAGGATCAACTACCAGTTCTTGGACAGCCAGGGCTGCAGAGTGAGATGCTACTCACAACCCAAAAGATAAAGAAATAATGTGCTGAGCTATCATATAAGGAGTGGGGAAACTGGGAACCCTGGGGACAGGCCCTCTGTCTGAGAAAACAAAACAAACACACAAAAAAGAGAAAGCTGCACAGGGGTAGTGGCTGGTGCCTGGAATCAACACTCAGGAGTTCAAAGAAAGAAGGTTACTATAACTAATTAAGGGCTAGCCTGGGCTACGTGGTAAGTTCCAGATTAGCCTAAGCTACGGAGACCTTGAAAAAAAGAAAAGGAGAGAAAGAAGGAAGGAACAAAACAAAGAGAAAAGGAATAAAAGTAAAGGTGTGTGGGGGGTGGTACTGTACCCAGACTGGCAGGGGAGCTGCCAA